TGACTTGGGTGTTACAGGTTAAAGTGAAGCTGATCTTATAGTTTCACTGTCAAGTTGGTTGCCCAGAAGATTTTGAAATTCCCAGATTATTGATCTTTTGGCTTTGTTATATAGTTTAGAATGCTTTTGCTAAGCCAGTTTCCACCCTCAAAGATATAGCCAATGAATTTATGCATTTCCTATGCTTGTGTTTCTTTTCATGTAAAGTCTTTATTTACTGGGTAGAAGGAAACGTTAGCCACCCAACAGGCAAAATGTTGCTTGATAATAGTTTTTAATGCATGAATTTGCTGTGAAAAGATTCTTGGATGCGTGGTACTATAATGGTTAATTGAGACTTCAGAGAATTTGAGCATCGATTCTGTTGGGAAACATTTGGTCCATCGGACTTGGACGGTTGTCTCGCTGTTTACAGTACTTGTAGGGTAGTCCAAACATTAATTAAGATGATCCTTAAGGGACTTTAAGTGACAAAAAATTGTTTTAGTTTTATCGTTAAAGCCATCTCAGGTTATGGCCCCAATGCGTTCTATTTACAACTCCATTTTATATTTACTGTTTCATAGTCAACTCAGGCAGCCTTGTTTTTGCGTGCTGGTGTGTTTATCTGATATGGAAGCTTTCCTTGAATTTTCTAAACAGAGTGAAAGTGCCATAAAAGAAAGTGAGGGGAAGACTGCAGTGGTTAGCGGATACCCTAGCCTTTTTGTCTCTTAACTTTTTCTATATTTACTTGCAAAAGGGTAAGAAAGAACCTCTTGTATGCGTTTCATCCTCTGAATTTTTTAAAGTCTGCCTAAAATGGAGGTGTTGCTGGTTTTGTCCTGTGTTGTATCTCAAACTGCTGCCTTTTCTCTTTTGAGGATGAGTGGAATGATATACAGATCGCCACCACTAAGGATACACAAAACAAGTAAACTCTTGGTAGCATGCACACAACAGACGTGCTCAGGTTTTTAAAGAGTTACTTAAAAACAAACTAACCATTTGAAATAATGGTGGATGTTTCATCAGGACTTGAAATTTTAGCTGAGATAAAACTGAAGTCAGAAAACAAAGGATTGCTTCAAGCCAGCAGGCTGTCACCACATCTCTGCAGGAGGGACTTCCCTCTGGGCCTGCCTCAAGCCTGGCCACCAAATTTGGGCTCCTCCATGGCCCAGCTGTCCACATTGGGCTGGTGTGCATCTCAGCAGGAGAACCTGCTTCTGAGGCCAAAGCAAGGTGGCCTGTTAGCCACCAGCCAGCCTGGAGCGAGACCGCGGCCAGTTCTGGGTGTGTAATCTGCGCCCAGCTTGGGATCCGCTCGTCAGCTGTCAGTGAAGAGCATGGCTCTTGTCTGGACTTCCAGAACACACCCCCAGTTCTGGAAATGGGCCTAGAAACAGAAATAGCCTCTTCGCCTGGGTGAGCACCTGACATCTTGCATGGAGAGGGGCACGGGCAGCCAGAGGGACCGCATTGCCTTGGTTCAAGGACAACCTGGGGAGCTGTGCTAAGCGTGACGTCTCTGCTCAACAGTGTCACTACAACAAAGGGGACTGAGGTGTCTGGAAGCGTTTCCTGCCCCTTTTGGCAATTACTAGAAGCAATCATGGACCCTGAAGCTACTGCTCACAGTGACTCAAGTAGCATAATTATTTTGTTGAAGAACATTTTTTTTCTTGGAATTCTCATATTAGTAAACGTTCCATTCAAATTCTTAATGTTTTCTTTTTACCTTTTCCAGTGAGGAAGGAGTATTGCTTCTATTAACAGAGACCATCAACTACCAATCCCATTAAACCTTTCTGAAAGTTAATGATAGCTAATACTTTCATAGTGCCTGAACTTAATGATGGGTATAAAACTCTCCATGTAAAACTTGCCGAAATCCTAAATCAGCTGGTTGTCTTTTGGGATTCAAAATTACCATCAGGAAGGTATGTCAGTTTGGAGAGTAGTTTTAGAGTTCTGCTGTTTTAAAAATTTGTGTTTAAATTTTTTTTAAAAGGTCATCTTTCAACAAAATATAATATGGCAAGAGTTATACTTGGATAATCTGGTTGACAGCTGACTAGGTTATTTCAGTGTACTTGGTCATTATGTCTGCTTTAAAAATATGAAAGAAATAAAACGACAAAGCACTTTTTAAGACTAAGTAAAATTCCATATTTTGGAGTCAACATAAAAAAGGTAGATAAAGTCTTGATAATTTGCAGATTAAGGAATTCTAAGAGGTGATAGATTCAAAACGTTAAGGTGCCAGCACTCTTAATTTCCTTATAGGGACTAACACAGAAGAAGAGACATCATAGCAGGTACATTATGACTACTTTGGAATGGTTTTGGGTAAATTCTGTTAGGAACCCCAGACTGAGTGTGAGGACCCAGGCTTTGACTTGACTTGGCCACTACCCACGTGATCTACCCACGTGACCTTTTGACCAGTCTGATCCTCAGGCTTCTTATCTGTAAAATGGGGATGGCGTGGGCAGTCGATCTATATTCTAAGCTCTTGCAGTTTTACATTCCTCTTCTCAGACATTTCTTTGGGGGAAGGAGGCAGAATGGGGAGCTTCTCACTAGGCCTCCTT